TTTTTTCTTATAAATCGGTGGAGAATTGACTGAGCTACATTGTTTACAAGTTTGGGCCATCTATTAGTAGTGGCCAAAACAGGCACCTTCCCAATTTGGCAGACTGGTGATGCTTTTCCTGACAGCTCAAACTTGTAAATGATGTAGCTCAGTCAATTCTCCACCAATTTACAAGAAAAAAAATGCACCAAAATTGTATAGATAGCCTCTATTCAAATGTATAAAATTTTACAATGTGTCTGATTTTGGTGGCTATGCAGCACCTATTAGCCCAATGTTGCCTACTCAAGCTATCAGCATCACAATGGATAGGATTTTGGCTTAGATTTGTGGAGAGGAAATGACCGATTAATATGTGGCTTCAATCCTACAGGTCCAGAATTTTAATTACTACCTCATAACTATGTTAAAGTGCCCATTCTTAGGGGTGATCTCAACATAGGGGCCACAAATAAAAATTCTGAATCTGTAGATCGATTGGAATTCAAATTCTAAGTAATATCCTCCCACAAACCATGTTTATATATGTTGTGGTTGGAAAGTTATAGTCCAATCTCTCCAGAGGGCCAAATTTGGCAGGGAAAACAAGCTGATTTCGCATTTTTGGGGCAATAAATACAATATCTACATAGAAAACTCTCTCAGTGGATTCAATTCACATCATTCCCTCAAACCCACTGCAAAAAATATATTGGATTGGTGTTGTGGAAGGTACAAAGTCCATGTCTCAAGAAATTGGCCCTGTGACGCTATGTCACAGCATGTCACAGGTCATCACACTTACCAAGGATTGTGCAACACCACATGAACAAACAACGTGCAACACTGGTGCGCCGTTGACAGAACCTTTCCTTTGCCCAACATTGCACGCTGACTAGGACTTCTCATTCATAGAATTAAAATGGGTTTTTCTGCAAATGCAACCACTATATATGATCTGGACGCTGAAATCAGTCGACTGGACGACAAACAATGATCTCTGCAAACTCTGCGCAATTCAAAACTCCCTTTCTTTGAGCTGCCTCTTGAGATATGTGTTTTCATATTTTTTCTTGCCTGTCATCATGGCTGCCTCCCAAAAAAACAGGGAAAGAAACCGCCGGTAACAATGCCTTTCATCATTAGCAGTATTTGTCATGCTTGGTGTGTTATGGCACATTCTATGCCCAAGCTATGGAGCTCCATATCGCTCTGCGTCTGTCTGACTAAGAAGGAATTGGAGATGCAAGCAGAACTCCTAGATCAATGGTTATGCCTCACACAATCACTGCCATTATCTATCACGGTGACCTTTGACCAGAATGAAGCTAGGCAACTAAGTCTTGAGGCCAACCCATCAGCGTTGACAGCTGTTACCTCAGTCGCCGCCTCACATTCTCATCAATGGGAGTCACTCGGCCTTTTCATTCCCTCAATTTGGGCTGAGAGTCTCAACTCCAAAATGGGTCGCATTCCAAACATCAAATCACTTGACTTGAAGCTCTTTAGATTCCAAGATACCCCGGAGTCGCCATTTTCCAGAACATTTCTTGACACCCCGAAGCTTTGCACCGTCACAATAGGCTACAAAGACATTGATGTGGGACTTCCACATCACCAACTGGAGGAACTGACAGTCTGGGGATACATCCATAACCCGGACTTTATCGCTTTCCTCAACAATGCATGAATCTTATGTTTTGCAGCATACACACTGGCCTCGAACTTAAAGATTGGGTGAAAACCAATAGGGATCAATGCCTATTTGTCAATCTTCCAAAGCTCGTAACATTAGAAATCATATCTGGTGGTTCGGGTTGGCTGCTCGGTTATTTCTTGGCACCCGCACTTGAATCCATTACTATTCCTCTCAAGTGTTCCATCGACACAGAGTCATTCTTGGCTTTTCTTACATGCTCAAACGTGGCATTGAAACAGTTGTCCATCTTTCATTATATCCCTCGGGAAGAAGAGCCCTTGTTCAGGATGTTTGACATGCTCACCCATCTGATGCATTTGGAGCTCGACGAACTCACCGTTAAGTCATTCTCATATGATGAAGAGCATTGGTTGCCCTCTCACACATTCTTTGACTATCTCACAACTCCCAATACGATGTCGGGTGGTAGTGGTTTGCCGTTGCCATGATTGATAAGCTTCAAATACCGTGGTCATTTCCACAACTTGGAAAATGACAGTGTTTATCTTGATGCATTGGAAGATATGCTTCTAGCCAGGTGGAATACCAATGTCTCTGCCAGCGCTTTGCGACTTCAAGTGTTCAGTATGTTGATTATAAATTCCCCGGAATCAGTGACAGAGTTGGAGCAATCACCTGTCGCGAAGGAGTTGCGCAAGGAAGGCATGCATTTGGCATTCAATTCGGTGATACACGTTGCACGGGGATGACTGTGAAAGTGCGAAACACGCAAACAAGGATCAAGTGCATCGGGAAAACCCTAAACACCTTAACACTCACTCACACACACACACACACACACGCTATCACAATCTCAGTGCACGAGTTCGAGGGCCTTTGGTATTAAGAAATACCACTTTTGTCTTCTTAGGTTTAAGTCTCAAGAGTTTTTGTCTCAAAACAGGGTTTTATTATTGGGTGTGGTATTAGAATAGTTCAATAGAACAAAGTATGTCTTTCAGGGAACCTGGTTGCTCAAATGTAAAGTTCTTGAACACAGTTTTCTTTATTGACACGAAACACGGATTTATCAGACTTTTATAACTCCCTTGAGCTTTTTATTATGTCACTACGCTCCAAAACTGGTGATACAAGTACACTGTCTCGTCTAAATGATACTGTGCTTAAAACCTCTTATTCAAGTCTCCAAGTAAGTTGACTCCCAAGCACGCTGGCTTTGTTCACACTGTACTTTTCTGACCACGAAGAAATCTCCTTTAATTGATTACAACTGTCCACCTCCTAAGTCTCTACTTGGAGTACAACTAGCTGGTCAACGGGGGACGATTCCTTTCTTTTGACCTGCCAGTGCACTCCTTATATACTCCAAAAACCCCTATCTATGCTTTTACATGTGTTTTCTACGGTTATGTATCGATCCGAAATACAAATAGCTTTTTAATGATCGTGTGGTATAGTTTATAGTGTCTCTCTTGTGGTACACTACAGTTTTTGTAGTGTTGGTATCTTTTCTTTGTCAATCACATCAGTGTTTGATGTGTATGTGGAACAATCTGGTTTTAATTATATCTAGTCCGGACCAGTTCCGCATGCTTCTTTATCATGGGCTCGGCTACTAATTTGACATATCGTGTCATTTCAGTGATGGGTGTGCTGATGTGTTTGATACGTATGCAGACACACTGCCGGCTTCTTTATTTCCGGAGGTCGTTAATTTAAAATACCTCGGCACGGTTTCTGTTATCATATGGAGATCAGATGGCACTCCGAAGAGCTTCAAATGACTTTCTTAATTATCAGGGGGTCTCCAGGATGGATTACCTAATGTCTTTCCAGGTTTGCACATCACATGTCTTGGACGATACGACACATCACTCTCCTTGTATGTATACTACATAGTCGCAGTATAGTCTTTCTAGTAGTAGAACATTATTTCATAATGTCCACATGTAGTTTATCCTCTAGAAGTCTTGGAAGTATTATCGCAGGATAAAAGTCCGAGTTTCCATATTAAAAATCCATTACATGTTTCTAAACCCTTGGTAGTAATGCAATCTTGTCCCTGCGTTGGGTGGTTTACTCTAGAACTTCTTTATACTCTATTTCATGGTGGGTAAATCCTAGATAGGCTCCAAGTATAATGTCACGGTGCATACTGCTGCCAGCTCCAAGGCCTTAGTCCTATGTTCAGACTCGACGCATATGCACTTTTAGTCTACTGAACCGGGTATGTTCAAAGACTCTTATATCATTGCAACTGTATATAGTGTATGTACAGAGAAGACCATTTTAATGGTAAAATCGCGAAAATCGGATTTTATACAGTTGAATATGTTTCACCTGTATCATTGGTTGAACCGCGAACAGGTAGGCGATTATATGAAAACTGACAAGAATGATGTGGGATTCCAGCTTTTGGCTCAGAGCACTACTGTCAAGGTAAGGTAGAGGACATCCACTTGCTTCCAATGTCACATGCCAAGCATGACTGTTCCAAGAAAGGTACTTTTTTACAAAATTCTTCACCATTGGCGACGGAAACACTTTTTGCCAAATGTAATTCCATAGAGTTACTCTAAATGTAGTACTATTAAGATGTAAAGAGAAAGAATGGGAGAAATTTTGATATTTGCAGTTCCCGACCCAAAATATTGTTGAATACATCATTGATACATCAATTATACGTTGCGTTGCACTTAAATCCCTACCTAGGCTAGAAACCGATGCGTCTGGAATGGGAAAATGAAGCAGACAAAGTACCTATGTCCAGTTGAGGCTTTCTGATTTCTAGATGCCAGTCTAACATTTTTCAGGTTTGCCAATAGGGCCCAGTGCTTTATGGATGCATATGAAAAGGGGCTAAACAGCAGTCAAATTGCCTGGGCAGCACGAAAATATCATGGACATCGTATTCTTCTGCAAACACTCATGGATGACATGGAAAAGGCCAAAATAAACTGACCTTTTCCCTTCTCAACCTACTTCACTTTCATTATAGTACATACTTTTATATTTTCCGTTGCTTGGACCCATAACTCACGATTGATGCTTGTAAACCTGTACATACATTCCTAACTTACATTTAAACAATTCTATGGAATTGTATTTTGTTAAAACTTCAATGAGAATATCATACACTCTTTTCTTTCATTTTTATGAGCAAACCAAGGGGGTGTCAGGATTTTTAAAAAAGACCTAGGGTCGATTTTTTTGGTAGTAAGTGCTGGGCTGAACCAACCACCCAACGTAATCAGGCACATGTCTATTTTAGGAAATGTGATGTCACTGTTGTGATGTCGTCTTCCTGTCCTTGGGCCTCTTGATGTTGAACATGCATTGCAGACCCAATGCATGGGCACCTACACAAGGTAAATACAAATGAGGTGATATCAGAATGGTTTGACATGAAGATGTAAGTACGTTTTATGTTGAAACCCTAACAGAAAGTGGGTTTACCAATTGACCACACAGTCTCACATCCCACTGGATCACATTGCCAGTGGTCAGCTCTGCTTGGGATCCACAAAAGCAATCCTCTAATCAACATCCTTATGTTTTCATTTTTCACACCAACCTCATGTTTCCTTGCTGTAACGGTTGCCACACTAACAAAAGTTATCAATGGTCTGATATTACTATTGTAAGCAGTCTCAGTGGCACATCCCGAGGCATTTAGCACATCTTGAGGCTTTCTAGTTCTATAATGTATAATTTATCCACCAGGAAGGCTGCCCATAATGTTTTTGGGCCAAAATTTTTGAGCTTCCAATTTTTTTTTAACGGCCTGATAGCCCAACCAACCAACTGGCCTGGTCCGCGATTATGATCCCAACACCCCCTTGGCGTAAACTTTCCTAATTTGAAAGGGATGTCACAGAAATGTAACAACACGTGATGTTAGAAGTAAGTGGATGTCCTCTACCTTACATATTTTGGTTGGCCACACATGCATATTTTTGGATGATCTGCCTCTGTAGATGAATCTTGTGGGCAATGAAGATGGTGAGAGCAGGAACATAAGCTGTTCATGCATGCACGAATTGTAATACAATAATAGTAAATTACATTAAATGAGTTTAACCTCCCCCCTTGCCACGAGTTGTTCCACAACAGAGTACGGTGTGAGCGAGATATGCCCCTTTTCCATGTCAGGCGTCGCGCCGCTGTGTAATGAGGTTGTCAGCGTGGGTACAAGCAAGAGTCGAAGCTGAAGGGGGCAGGGAACTTACTCGGGCAACGTGATCCGCGGACACCTTGTCAATGCGTGTACGAAAACGGGACGCGATTTGTCTGGTTCCGTTACTGGTGGTGTATTGAATTAGCTTGTGGTTGAAGCAAAGTAGCAAGGAGGAAGGGACGTTTGGAAGCACGGATCTAGAGAGAAAGAGGAAAGGAAGGGTCCAAGGAAGGGAAGAAAAGAAGGGAGGGAGGGGGTGGGGAAGAGAGGAAAATAGAAGGGGAGAAGCGAAGGGGGGAAAGAGGGGTGAAGGAAGGGAGGGAAGGAGGGAGGAAAATGAAGAGAGTGGAGCAGGGGAAAGAAAGGACAAAAAGAAAGGAAGAAAGAAAGGAATGGAAGAGAGAGAAGGAATGGAAGAAAGAGAGGGAGGAGGAGAGGGAAGGGAGAAAGGACGGGAGGGGAGAAGGAAGAGAGGAAAGGGGGAAGGGGAGAGGGAAGAGAGGGAAGGAAGGCAAGCGAGTAAAAAAGTAAAGGAGGAAGTCAGAAAGAAAACGAAAAAAGAAAGGGAGGGACATGGGGAAAGGGAGGAGGAAAGCGAAGGGAGAAGGGAGAACAAGGGAGGGAAGGGGAGTGGGAGAGAG